TTTATTGAGCGGAACTCTTGTTATTAACTATAAGGAATTCTTCGTCTCGTCAAAAGGAAGTGGGAATTCTAATCAGAACTCCTGAGTACTATAGTTGGGGTGCTAACTTAACATACCCCGAAATATTTGTGTTTAATTTTTGTTTTTAATTTTTAATTATTATTAAACTTTATATTTTAATACAAATGACAGTTTTTATTTACCGTTAGTTTATAGTTTAATATTTTAACGAATTTATGGCTCGTTGCCCTGTTTCTTTTATTAATTGTTTTAATTAGTTTAATTGTTTTAAATATTATTTTTTTAATCAGATTTAGAGAAACTTAGACGAAAAGACTATTGTGCTGAAGTATCTGAAAATTTAGCTAAATCTAAAAATAATTTTATTGAACTATTAAAATGATTATGTAAGATGTTCAAGTTGCAAATGATGATAATGTTGTAAAAAATTTTGATATTTTAGTAACCAGTTTGAGTGTAAATATACATAATTATTTTGCTGATCTGACAAATTATTTTCAGATTTGTGTATCTAGTTAAATTTTTGTTTCAGCAAAACCATGGCATTCTGTCTGTGTAAATAAAATATGTTAAAAATGAAAATAAAAATTATTAAGATTAAAATGTTTATTTCAAGTGAAATTCTTCAAGGTATAATGAATATATTTAATTTAAATATAGAGAATACGCGCGATTGCACGTATTTAAGACAGATTTAAATTTCAATATTACATATGTTATTCAAATATGTATATTTTAAATTTGTGCAATTTCGTAGTATTATCCGTATTGAGTACTGCATTATAAACGCAAGCCTCTCGAATAGTTAATCGCAAGCTTGCCGTTATGCTGCATTTTCGAGTAACCTTCTATAGCGCGGAAAATTAAGCTCTCCGAAATTGTAACAGTTCCGAACTCGACTTTAGCAAGAACCGCAGATGCTCGCACGCGAGTAAATGCGCACACTTAACGAAGAGTAGGAGAAGGGATAGGGTGGTATTAATTATTTCTCTAGTAGCAAACTCCCCTGTTTGCAATCCACTCGACCTCTTGCTGGCGATGCGCGTATATGTACTTACAACATACGTTACGTTTTATTGGAAAAAAAGGAGTAATCACGAGTAAAAGTCGTGGAAAAGGGAAGAAATCACAGACGGAGAAGATCGAGCCTTATTTTCGCCGCGCTGATAGATACAAGAAAAATACTTGTTTGGTTCTATATTGGAATCTTTCGTTGATTACGAATCGATATTCATTTGCTATAAAAGAAAACTTAAAGTCCGGTCGTTTCGAGTTAAACTTAACTAAGTAAATTTTCCTTCGTCCGTATTACTAGTAAAATTACAAAAAACGGATAGTAAATCTCTAAGGTATATTTTAATCCCACCTTTATTTAATCCAAACTTATTGGTGCAAACGAGCTTTAATGAGATGTAAACGCTAGGCGGCAATTACATCGTTTTCTCAAAGTAGATTGAATGACAGAAACGTACATGGTTTTATATTACTCTGTTCTGTTATATTACTTTGTTTTGAAATCTGAATGCATTTGACTGATCGTGACACATATCAAGACTACCATTTCGTGTAAAAAATGTTAGTATGGTAAAATGTGGAAATTTTTCAGTAAATATTCTGGACATGCTTGTACATGTGAGAATTGTTTCAAGATACTTTGTATATTGAACATTTGAAATTATTTCGTTCATAATTAAATGGATATAAATAATATTATGAATTACGAAAATTTTGTGCAATATATAATTATAGATACATCATTCAAGAAATATTTTAACAATTTATTTCGAGATATGTGTCGATTTATTTTTCAATTTTGATTTCCATGTTTTTCATGCAAGTATCCCATTCTGCTTATAGAACTGACCAGATTACCTAACAATAGGAAGTTTCGATTGTACGTTTAAATGTGTATTATTGGAAAGAAACAGCGACTTCGAAGGATAAAAAGGATATACTCCAGAGAATTGAAGTATATATTGACAGCATTTCTTATTAGGAAAAAGTACTTTTAAGAATTAATTTTAGCTTGTAATTTACTGTAAAAGCTCTTTTGTTTCGAATTCTGTTCGATTTTAAGAAATTATTATTAATATCTTTTTTTATTCTTTTTAGAGAGAGATTCGATGCAAAGATAAAATTTAAATTTAGCCTGATATATTTGGATGGGAAATATTTAATTTGCAAACGCGCGCGTGCGGCGTGGAAAACGTGGGCTAGATCTTTTTTTACGCACGTACACAAGTGTAAAAGTTTAAATTACTTTCGGGAAGTGGAGGCGAAATGTCTACCGTGACGTCAAAATTCCGGTGTCAAAAAACAAGCAAATATGTGGAAGTTCGAAATTAAAGTACAAAATTGAAATCGGCAGATTTGCGTCATTTCCATTGCTAGAGAATATTGCAGAAAGCCGAAATAATAAATAAGTTTCTGGCGATTATTTGAACAATTCATTATTAATATTAATTAAAGTATTGTAAAAATTAATTAGATTATTATTATAACTTATAAAAAATTAATTACGTTGGTTATTGTAATGTTTACTTAAACATAAGAATGTATATTAATATATTAAATAATATATAATTACATGTAACATAACATAAGAATGTATAATATATTATATTATACAAGATGATAACAAAATATGTGTATCTAATAAAGTTTAGTGTTTGTTAAGTCATTATCCGGATAGCAGATTGACGTTATAATCATTTTAACGTCGAAATGATGACAAATAACATTAGCTTGTTACCCAAGTAATAATGTACATTAAAAAGAAACATTAAAAAAATATTAAAAAACTTTATCTTCGTAATAAAATTTTTTTTTTTAAAATTGACGTATAAGATTAGTTTTAATTTTTGACTCTTATGCCCTTTATTCATTTTTAAATTTATTTTTTAACAAGAGTCCTTTATACATAATTTTATTAAAAAACTCTACAAAAAAAAGAGAGTTAGTAATATCTTATTAAATATCAAAAAAACTGCACTAAAAGATTTTCGTCGGTTAGTAGACTCAAAATCGTTCTATCGGCCACCTGGGAGAAATTATCCATTGAAAAATGTGCTGCAGCTACCGTGTTTCGAAAACGCCTTAAAACTTACATTAAAGTTAAAGGTGACTATTTTGTGATGCTTGTAATTTTTCGTATGTGATAACATATAACCAACATTTTAGAATTTATTTTTTTTGTAAATATATATCATATACGTTACTATAATGATATGATAAACTTTATGACTAAACTTTTTTGTTATTCTATAAGTATAAAGGATTCAAATACGTTGTAATTGTTCAATGATCTAAAGATTCAATGTGTAATAACAAAATGATAAATAAGATCTCGTGAGTGCTATTACATGTAATAAACGTCAAATTAAATCGCATTGGAATCAGATTTTCAACACGCCATGTCAAACAGGATAGCTTAACTTCTTAATAAAAAATAGATTTCACTTTGCTTATATCATATAATGATTCATAGATGCGTGGTCATGCTTTTCTCTCCTCTTTTACATAATAAATCATATAACGGCGCCAACAGTAACTTACAATTGGGAGCCTCTTCGTCGATTGCGCCTTTCTTCATCGGGTATAAGAACGGGTTGGGACGCAGGCGACACTACCGCAGGTGCAGATGACGAGTCTAGCTTAATCATTTTCTCGTCGTCGGCCGCGTCGTACGGCATCACTGGTTTCACGGCGCGGAAAGAGGACCTGCGAGCTGGCCGTTCTTCAGGTTCTCGGGTGCCTACGGAAAAGTAAATGACCAACGACGTTTTAAGGCCAACCATATTATACTTGAAATATTAAATGTGACTCACAATAGCGAGTGAATCGCCTTGAATAATAAAGTCCCTGATATATTGAAATATAAGAGATAAAAAAAGTAGCATGGATTTAATAAAACGGCTCGGGAGAGATAAGAGTTGGGTTATAAAACATATTTTAAAGCTATTATATATATGTATACATATATCTCAGGAATTTGAAATCGATCAGATTATATAATGGATAAAATGTTATAATTAGTTTTTTTTATCAGAAATAAAACAATACAACGAAAAAGGTGATATTAGAATATCGAAATATGTAGTTATTATTATACATAAAAATTTCAAAGGTGTTGAACATATTACATTTGAAAGAAATAAAATAGTCAGAATGTTTCACACTAAAGTACGATGCGGGTCAAATATCAATGTTGTTTCTCTCTGTAACAGGAAGTAGAGTTTTCAGCTTTTGGTTGCGTAGGATAGAGAAACAAGTACAGGTCACATTATATACGGGTTATTTGAATAGGAGTACATTTTGTTTTATTGCAAAAAGAAAAGGAAATAACGAAATATATCACAACATTAAAATATCATAACTAATTAGAAAGAGAAAGAGAGAGAAATTTAAAAAGACTTTCGACAATTTAATCTCGCGGTTAGATGTAGATAATCAAATTTTATTCTTCGTTGTTTTAATCTTTGTTTTAATTTTTTTGGTTGAACTTCAATTTGTATTATCAAACTTTCTAATATTAAAAATTGAAAAGTTATAAAAGACTTGCTAATTAAATTTTTGCGAGAATAACATTTTTATTCAAAGACGCTGTAGTCGATAAAATGTCATTTTATCTGCGTACAATTGTTCATTCCATGTTTTCTTTTCAAACTGAAATGTAATAATAATGTGTGATAATAATTTTCTTGAGTAATTTCCCTCGAAAAGGGAATTACTCGCTTTGGTTTCTCGATTTGTGCAAAACTTAAGTTGGCTGGTCAAAGTTTGTTTCACTGTATCTATACGTAGTATTATTTTGTGCAATATCAGTATATATTTGACGGGCGAAACTCACGTTGTATCAAGCCAAATATCAAATTGAGACTGGAACACGTTACGCTCAGAGTAAAATGGAAATTTTAAAAGTATCTGAATAGGCGATCAATGCGTACATGCATGAGTACTGATGGCTTTGAAACCGCGTTACGTCCGTACGCTTCTCTATGACGCATCGGAAATAGTTTCCATAGAAAGTTCGCTGCAAGTTCACCGCGTGCAGGGCTTTTCGATAGACCGAAGAAGGGCGGGAGGGAAAGGAAAGAGAAAAGCAGAATTTCTATGTCGAGTCGAGATGCTTGTTTAGTGCTTCCGATCACGCAGGCTGGTAATATACGCGCGCGCACTGTTCAAGTTACACTGCAGTTATAGAAATGTATCTCAGGATACGCGACACACGTTCAACAGACGCGACTGAATTGAATGCATGAAAATGGGAATTCTGAAACTAGTGTCTCACAGTTGTTATTTAAAGTTGTTCCGTGCGGAAAATTTTAATGGTATCCTCAACAACTGGTTACTAACAATTTGTTGATTGTACTATCGTGAAATTTTCACGAAGTTTTACCTCCAAATCTGCACAAAATGATAGGTATCGTTTTGAGACGTTTAAATTACGAGTTCTCCCTGAGATCGTAAAGTTAATTGAAATGGAAGTCGCGGTATATTTGAAAGTATAATATATATTGTCGAGAGTCTCTGCCGTCTATACCGTACTAAAACGTTTCTCATGGTAGAAAATGTCGAGCAAATAGACAAGACCACATCACGTGGTCAATATATTTAGCAAAAATCGGCTTACTCATTTCCTTAAAGTTGCTTTTGTTGGTGAACCACCGCTTGTATTCACGTAATGGGGTAAATTGTTTCTACAACGAACGGAGGAAGTTATGGGAACAAAACGAACAATACACAAGCTAGAATTACTGCTCGACAAGGTCTATTCGATTATCCTAGCCAACATGGCAGCTTTTGCAGCCCTTAGAATCCCTTAGAGCACAGTCATTTCTAACTTGTCGAGGATGCCATTGCGATAACTCGTAAACGCGCAATGTGTGACAGAGAAATCGGAGCATATGTTGCCAGCTTGCTATAATATCTGGAGGGAAGTGTGGGAGAAGTTGGAAATTTCGGCGTTTCCGCCTGGTGGCGAAAGAGTGAGTTGCTAAAGTTTCTTCTGGGAGAATAGCCCGGGAGGTCAAAGATAGCACAGAAATTACGAAGATTATGCAAATAAATATATTGTACATGTATATAGCGAAATTATCAATATACATATACATATACTGCTTGTTATTTTAGTGAAATGTCTGATGGATGATTTATACGAAATTGATATTTTAGATATGAAGTAAAAGTATATGATAAAAAATATTAATTCTTATATATTTCACACATATCAAGTGTCTACTAAAAGCGATATTTTTTATTAGAAAACATTTTAATTAAAAATATTTTAATCACACACAAAATGCACGAAAAAAACAATTTTGGATTTTAAATCATTAAAATAATTATGTAGAATGCTTAACGTTGACGAAAATGCTACAAAAAAATTTTAACATTCTAGCAAACAGTTTAAACGTTCTATATAATTATTTTAATTCAAATAAAATTATTTTTATATTTTTTTGAAAAGCTTTGTTAAGCGTTGTAAAATAAAATTAACATCGCGAGTTTTCGGAAACCAAAGAAGAAATTTTTCATTTGGTGCAATGAATCGTGTATATCAACGCACCTTGCGCCGAAATAGAGGTTCTTTGTTGGGCGGCGGCGATAGCCATCGCATTAAGACCGCTACTTCCAGGTACAGCGTAAACGTCGTAGGCTGACGCTCGTCTTGGTAATTGAACCGGAAGTCCTAGGCCAGTGTCAGGATGCGTGGGTTGCGCTCCACCGGTAGCCATCGTGGCCGCTGTTTTGATTTCATCATCGTAAGACCTTTGCCTGGTTACGCGAGATTTGCGACGAATCGTACCGCCTCCGCGACGAGCGCGACGTCGACGTTCCTCCTCGTCGTCCAAATCACCGCCTTCCTGCTCGATCGCTTTATCAAGGAAATTGAAAGATGATATTATGATTAACACTCTAAGTAAATCGAAAGACGATGCGGTTAACGTAGAACGAAATGTTGAAACTTATTTTGATTTTGAATAACATTTGCTGATTGACTGTGATAGAGATAATGTGTTTTCGTTATGTAATGTAAATTATTCAATTGTAATAATAAATATACAAAACAATTTTTATAAGTATATTTAAAACAAAATTTTATATTTCCCCCCGTGAAAATATTTATTTTACAGAAATATTTTTATAAATATAAGGAATTACATTCTCTCTCGAAAATGTTGTAATTAAAAATTTAAAACGTTTGAAGTTTAAAGATATCTATAAAAATAATATATCAAATAAATAAAATTATAAGTCTAAAATTTTACAATACATTTACCCTTGTTGCAAAGGCGTGTCTATTTGAGTATATCTTCTTTTATTTTGTCACTCGTTCGATTTACGTCTATTAAGCTGGCACAGCCACTTCAGCACAATCAAACACGACCAATAACACATTTTTTTGCTATTTTTTTGCTAATTTTTTGCTTTATTCCCGATTTTTTTGCTCCAGCCGATTCGTTAAAACCTATGGCTTTGACTAAGATTACATTCTCAAATTCAGCAATATCAACAATCTCTCTCTTAAAAACGAGTTTCCACTATATTCAGATTATTTTTTTTGAAATTTGAATTTTATGAGTAACTATAATTCTAAAATCAGAATCGAATTTAATCGACTCCAAAAACCTTTACAAAACATACTAGTCTTCTTTAAATATTTTTGTTAAAAATATATAATAATGTATTGGCATCCCTATTGACTTTTCATCCTTAAAAAGTCAATAGGGATGCCAATACGTTACTTGTAATGTTGTTATGTTTTACATTACTTAGGTATAATAACGATTTCGTGATAACGTTGCGAATTTTTTTATGATAGTGACGGTAATACCGAAGTTGGAAAAGTCAATCGTTACAAAAGTGGAAAGTTATTTTTCAAAGTGACTTTCCCAATCTTGGCGGTTAGTTAGTTATCGTAGTTTTACAATCATAAAAAATTGTTATTATCAATATGTTATCAAAAAGTAACAGCATTACTATACTCCACATCCTTGTGGTTAGTAGTAAATATAGTATCATATTATGATATGAACTCCATTTTTCTTCATATATAAAAAAAACGAGCTATATAATTTCTTATTTCTTCGATTGTGTCGTAACATGCGATCATTACGCGAAATGTGACATCTGTGATATGAAGGAACAACAGATATCTCGCATGAACGAGTAAAATGATCCTTACCACCCGTTTGAGCCGGCATGACGACTCTCTGAGGGCTAGTCGCTCTCCCTATATCAGAGGCTTGATGGCGATCGGGCGAACCACCCCTCGACTTGCTTTTCCGGTCCAGGTCGCGCTCCCATCTGAGGTCCTCTCTCTGGCGTTCTCCTGTAACCTTTCGAAACTACAACATTACGATACAGAGATTAGGGTTCGATGCGGGAAACGTCACCACATGTAGGCCGTGAGTAAGGGCGGGGTGGAAAGTCCAAGCATCCCCAACAACACGGCAAGGGCAGGGTGTGCATGTACAAGATTAGGCAGCACATATTGACACCTAGAAGCTAACAGTTAAATCAACGCACAGAGATCAACTATGACTCTGGGGTTTATAATTGCACGAATGACTGAAGCTGTGCAGTTGTATTTATCATTTATACGAAAAGAAAAAATTGATTTTGCTCAAGTATTTGAAAATTTAGCTGGATCTGAAAATTTTGTTAAATCATCAAAATTTTTGAATAAATATTTATGTAGAAAACTCAAGCATGGTGAACAATATTACATAAAGTTTGATAGATTATAGCAACTTTATTTGTCGATGAAAAAACTGTTTTGTTTTTACCATCTCGAATGTTCTACATAATTATTTTGATAATTTAACAAATTATTTTCTGATCTGTGTGTATCTAGTTAAATTTTTAAATACAAATTTTCAACAAAATCTTTTCCTGTGCTGATTTGAAAAGAAATTATTTACTCTCTCAATGGCAGATGAATACGCCACGATCAAATACTATCTTTCTACTTTATTTTAAATATAAAAATGTATACTTTAAATATTAGAAATATATATATATATATATTAGGAAATATTCTAAAAAGATTGAAAAATTGTTGAACGATCAAATTGCGCATTAAATTATTGTCTAATGCGCGAGTTTGGATTATTTTTAGACTCGAGAAACGTTTGAGACGACAGTAAGATTATGTCTATAAATGAAACGAGTTATTGCACTGTGCTCTAACGTGAATCAATTCCATGAATTTAAAATAACTCACTTCACCGGCAAATTGCAACAAAGACATTTCGCTCGTTGCTCGAAAGCTCTGAAGTTGGTGCGCTGCCCTTTGATAATGAAAATTAATATCGTCCCCGACACGCCTGCGGCTAACAAGAAAGGAGACCGCGGAAACATGGCTGAGAGTTTGCGATAATAATGAAATGGCTACATCCGAAAATTAACTTCGTCCCGGTTTCGTCACGCGATCCCGCCGCGCGGCATAATTGCACGTCGGCAACAATTAAACCGAGGTGAGGTGCGCGTATACAGGCCGTTGACCAAGTTCGAGAAGGTTTCAGCGTTAAGGTTCCATTAGGATCGGGGCAACGAACGGGGGGGGGGAGGGGGAAGGGGTGCGATGCTGGGCACGTCTTTCTCGCTCATCGCTGCTACTCCGGGTAGATGTGCCAGCTCGATTCCGCTTCCGAGCACCTGTCGCGCGCATAAATATTCATGGTGATGCAGCGCGCGGGCGTGCGAAAACGTTATTTTAACGCGATGACGACGAGGGTGTGGCGCGAAGATGTCGTTCCTCTCCCGCGTGTCGCGATAATTTCCTCTCGACGAAACCACGTTACGGCTACACTCCATAGCAGCGCGATCTATTCGAAAAAAAAAATCTAGGTCGCCATTTGCATCATACGATGCAATACACTGACGACAGTGTATGTACGCCGATGATTTTCGAAGTGCAAGACACGCGTGACACGGGGATGTAGCAGATACTCTGCATGTTGCGCATCACTCAGAATGCTCAGCCGGTCGTAAATTATCCAATAGGCGTAACCGGAACGTTTAAGTGCATGTAGCTCAGAAAGCTAGTACCGGTAATGTAGGGCGCTTAGGTATAGTATAAACAGAAGTGCCAAATGCAATTTTAATCCGAATGCAGACGTGTTTGCACTCAGACGCCTGAGACGCTTAGAAATCGTTTTACAATTTTTAGATCGGGGTGTTACACAAATAATTCAAGTGAATTTCAACCATAAGTTGTGGTATCGACACATTCCAACTTAAATGGCTTAAAATGATTTCAAATTAATGTAAAATTAATGAAATTGCAGTATTAACATAAATTTGCAATAAAATATCTCAATATATTATAGCCATATATAATTTAAATATTTCTTTTCTTTACATTTTTTCTCCTAAAAATTCTCTTGAACTTTGTATACTTTTAAATAATACCTTTCAGTGTGGGAAAAAGCTCCGAATTTAATTCCCTAAATTGGCAATAATGTAATAGTCGTTATTTTTCGCACCATGCCTTAAACGTTGCGATCACATTTCCGCAATTCCGCCGGCGGTATTGCAGTCATTCCATTCCATCCATCATACGGCCGTTTTAGCTCACGAGAAACCGGCAGCCGTGACGCGCGAATAGCAACAAAGTGGATTGAATCTCGAGATGGAAAAAGCGCCAACGACAATTACTACGAGCAAGATAAACGTGCTAGGCGTCCTTCACCAAGCGGGGCGTATCGTGAGAGACTGACGCGCGAGAGCGAGCGATAAACTCCAGAATTAGCGTTTGCCGTCGTAAATACGAGATATCTCCTCTCGGTTTGTCTACGCCTACGTATGTGCGTAAACGCTTGTAGGACGTTCATTACGTCATGACGGTTCCGATGAAGCAGATTTATGATCCGGAATCCGCCCCTTCTTTTGTGTCGAACTCGTTAGACAAATGGCGTTGACACGTTTTGGTTATTTAGAGACATCACACTTCATGAAAGGATGATTTAACAGTAATTTATTATGTTGCATGTCCTATTCTATATAATGAATAGAACGGATAGAAAGGAAAATGAGAAGTGCGGAAATTATAAATAAATAAATGGCAGTGGAAATGTATACATTGAATGAGCTATGAGTAGTGAAAATATTTTAATTCTATTTCGATATCTAAACAATTCTTTTATAAGTGCAGCAATCAATTACGAAAACAAAACTACGTGTTGTACACAAAATATATCTGAATGAATAAATTTGTTAAGCAAAAATTGAAACGAGAGGGAAAAAAAAATAAACACGGAATATGTAAATTCAACGCAGAAAAAGGCAGTTTTTGTAACGAAAGTTATGATAAACCTATATATATGAATTTTCGATATTTTTGCGTGGTAAAGCAATACGCGGCTGTAAAGGTTTTCGAATCTGCCACTTTTATTCCCTTATTTCTATCTACGTGCAAAAACACGCCCTCCTTCATTTCAATTTCACTCCACTTTCTTTCGTTTCCGCAGCCGTTTCCGCCGTGCGCGCACGGATCCGATTATTCTGCCAAGCGACAAAAACGACTGTCGATAAATTCTCGAGGTGAGACGTCTACCGGTGCTACGAAGTTGTCGCCTAGCACAATGTAAGTTTCAGCCTTCGAGAG